TTAGCTAAGTTTCCACCCATATTACAATGAAATCTTGTTGGTTTAGCTATTACTGATAAAGGATTGTGGATCAGTTATATTCTGTGTATGACTTCTTTATGATCTTGACTCATAAATAATAGTGTGTAACGTGACTAATTGTACATACTTCTTTAGTTCCCCTTGCTCTCATCAACATTCTCAATATGGGTATAGTCGGAATTACTTTGTAATTCTAGTAGGAATATTACTAACTGCTTTTTCATTATTTAGATGGTGTCTTCTTAACCTCCTTGCATCCATTTTTTACAGCTTTCAGACCCAGCGAAAGCAACTATATACAAGTTCCGAGCACCCTCCGTGTCTGCTGCCAAGTCCTGGATTTCCAACCTTCAGCAGGCTCTGACAGAAAACACTCAGAGACCCCCAGAGAACCTCATTACTTTCGAGTAACGGTGCAGTTGGTCTGGGATCAGTGTTTAAGAGATGTTTGTTTTTCATGACTGAGGAAGAGGAGGAGGAGGAGGAGGTGTCAAGAAGTTTCACGCACAGGTCCATACCTCAAGTACTCAGCAATGCAGACTAGAAAAACTGTCCATAAGAATTGGCTGGGGAAAGCTCAATATGTGTGTGATTCAGTGGTTGTATAGCATTGAAATAAAGAGACAGAGGAAACTTAGGAACCTCATCTGAAAGCCAAAAGAATATAACTTGTGTCTAAAGTAAGACAGGTGTTAAAAACTTGAAAAATAGTTAAATAACTGTTCTGTGGAAAAAAAGACGTGGTTCTATGTGCAAAAAATATAAGACATATACCAAAATCCCCCACATATTTGAATTTAAAAGGAAAAAAAAGGGAGAAAAAAGACAGGAAAGAGAGAAAGAAAAATTTCCCTCTCTCTTGTACACTTATCCTGCATAAACAATAAAACCTGGGGAGGAAAAAGTGTCTTGTGTAATAAGTGTGAAGAAGAAGGAGAAGAAATGAAATCACTATTGCCTCAGTTCTTGCCTTTTAACCATTGACAATGTCCAAAAAAAAGTCTAACGTTAAGTCACATTCAGCCCTTTGCTTTGGGTGTCTCTTAGCCCTTCAGAATGAGGCTTGTGAACAATTGTCATCACAGCAGCTCCTAGTCGTGAAATACCTGCAGATTACTATGTATATACTGATACTTGAACCACATTCGTTATGCCATAAGGAAGTGTCTTCAACCAGGACATTTGTATGGTTTCACTATATCCAAACCTGGGTAGGCCTGCTGCGGAGTTTTATTTTTAATTTTGTTTCCCCAGGTTACTTCAGCCTTTACCCTCTGTCCCCCCCCCGTTTACCCCACACCTACAGTCCATGCCATAGATGGTGCTGCATCGTAACTGTCACTGACATGAACAGAAGTCTAGTCTGTATATTACAATCTACTGCCAAAGGAATTAGGGTGGGATGTGCAAAGCAAGTTGTACATATAAAAACAACAGGGAAAAGGGAAAAAATATGTATGAAAGAGGACACATTTTTATTGCAAGGGTATTTGATTTTTTTCATTATTATTATTTATCTTTTGATCAGTTTCTAAAGATGTCCTAAACTGTGAGGAAAGGAGTTTTTATTGATGCCGGGTAAAAAATTTTGACTTGGAAAAATTAAAGAAGTAAAATGAAAAGGTTAGATGGAATACACACGTCATGCAGTAGTAATAAAGATTAAGGTCTGGGAATATTCAATGGTGAATTTTTTTCTTTTTGTTTCCTTTTTTTTCTTTTACCTATTAAGTCTTGTCATTGAGTTATTTACGTAAAGCCAGTTCAAACAAAATCATCAGTTGAAATAAATTGCTCACAGTTTCAGGAGAATATTTTTAGGTATTATATGGAGAACTTAAAAGAGGATTTCTTATATGACTGAAAAGATTGCCTATGTATCGTTTTTGCATTATTTGGAATGTATGTATGGCTATGCACATGCATACAAACAAACGCAAACAAATAAATAAACACAGACATATGCTTGAGTTTTTGCACATATACATTTTTATGTACTATATGTATTCACATATAAATGCACACACACTCTCAAACACATGTACAGTAAAGGGACAGACACTCGTCCCTTCCCTACACACATGCAAAGAAATATCTACAAATGTTTATCTATATAGGTATGTCTGCTTTATAAATAATAGATGCTGTGTGGAGCAGATGGTTAAAATCACAGGTCTTCATCAGTTCCTTTTTACATAAAAAAAAGAAAAAAAAGAACAAAAATAAGATGAAGGAATGAAGTCAAAGAAAATCTGACCTGCGAGTTTGCTGCTACCAACTCACAGGATGCAGGGTTCATCCTGATGGCCCATTAGTTTTGCAAACAAAGTCAAGATGCTTTGCTGTATTGCTATAAACAAATGGGCTGAAGTGACAAGGTCAGCTTCAGTCATGTCATTGCATAGCATCAAAAGAATGAATATTCCACTTTTATCCACATTTCTATGAATCACTATTGGCAGCGATGAGGTTGCTGTTTCACACGTGCGCAGAGGCATATGCACATGCACACACACATACACACACACACAGACAAGTATGCATATATTATCAAGGAAAAGTAATAAGAAATGTTATTTTTTATCCTTTTTTAAATTGTGTATTGGATATAAGCCACATTGCATTGCATCGTGTATAAAAATTTCCCAAATTTAAGATCCCTCTGATCGGGAAACTGACCTCGGGGAAGGAAAGAGGGACTTAAAATGATACCAAATTGAATGCTTTAAAGAGTCTGACAATAAACTCAAGAAATCAGCTTCTTAGCAAACTCTTAGATATAAGATTGTAGAGGTGTATAAGCATGTGTACGTGATGATGTTGGCACAATGCTTCCAATAAGTTCAAGAAGGCGGCAAGTGATACTCAGCATCACAATAGCAGTAGACTTGTCAAAGTTGTCGTCATTGTTAGCTTCCAAAACACACCATAGGAAGAAGTAGTATAAAAACATGTTTCTACATAAACAACCAAAGATTAAGAGGGCTTTTGATTTTCTTTTTATCATTATCATTTTATTTTATTTTGTGGAAGAACACACCATTCACAAACAATTTAGGTACAGTAACTTATTTCCTGGTGCATCATATTGCAACACTCGATCTTGTTGTACTTGTACACACTTTGATTTGATTTTAGGCTGTGAAATATATAATGTAAAGTTTTTGATGTGCAACCCTGTCTAGTGCTGTGTGGATGAGTGGTTCCTGATGAAATGTTTACATAGGAAATTCCTAACTAGTAACTAAGCAAATCGAAGTGAATTTTTTCCTCTTTTTTAATAAACAGACCAAATATATATCAGCAATTTTGATGTTTCATAGTATTTGCAAAGTGTTTTTTAATGTCAATAAGGATTGTGATGGTCCTTAAGCAACACTGTAAAAGACTTGCCATTTCTGGAAAATCTTAAATACTCATTCCAAACTCTATTAAGTGATGTGCAAAACCCAGTATTATTATTGTTGTTCATGTTTATGATTTACACATATATCTTTTGTATATATATATACATACAGTATTTGCACAGGTGATTTTTCATAACATTACTCTTTTAATGTATAGATTTGGTCAAAAAGAAAAGAGAGAGAGAGAGAGAGAGAGAGAGAAAGAAAGAAAGAAAATGAATTAATTGTATTGCTTCCAGTATGTTGCTAGACACAAAAATATTTAGCTTAAGCAGTTAGTAATGGCAAATGAAAAATGACATGAAAATGTGCACATGTAACATATCGCATGCTTTTACATATACTTGTAACATATTGATTTCAATATGAACTCCGCTGCGAGATGTGTTCAGAAGTTAGTGGACACAGATTATGAAGAGCGGTCATAATTTACTGAATAATGAGTGCTCTTAAGTTTGTAGCAATAAAATATTGATCTTTGTGCATATGACATCTTTTATTTATACAACCCTGTTATATGTTTGTGTCTTTGGAAGTTTTTTTCTTAATCATGATAGTAATATAAGTGAAGAAACTTTTTACTTCACTTCTTTTTTTTTTTAGTCTGGGTGTATTTTTTAACCTCTGCACACGGGACAATGGGTGTGCCAAATGTATTAAGGAAGAAAGAATACGCGGTAAAACTGCTATTAAAATGATCTATGGAAAAAAGAAAAGTTAATTTAGAGTGAGCAAGTCACTGTCTGCATTTTTTTTTACAGGTTTAACAACTTCAGATAAAGTTTAAAATTCTTTCAGAAGCATATGAAAAGCCCAACATTAAATTGATTATTATTAACATGTTATATATAACCCAAATGGTAAAAGAGTGCATCTTTCTTTATTAAACTTATTCATATGTTGTTAGATACTTTTTGGTGACATGAGAATAATCGTAAATATGATATAACTGATAAAGAGGTACCCCCACAGAGAATGGGATACAAAAATACATTCTTGTGCACATAGTTACAAGGACATGTTAGGCTATTTTGCTATTCATTTAATCAGTTATCTTGTAATCATGCTTCTTGTATATGATCATCTTTCAATGCTGGATCCAAGCAAACAATAATCTAGAGCTGACTGATTAGGTCTCCCTGTAGGGGCATTGGCCAGGCTGGTTGTGGGCGTTGAGCTCTCTAGGACCAGGGAAGGCGCGGGTGCAGTGGACACAGAGGAAGGTCCTGACGGAGTAGTGGGAGTCCAGATGGTCGAGGAGGGTTGTCATGTCCGTAGTCACATACTCACAGTTGATGCATTTAAGGGGCCTGACACCTGCAGGGTTTTCCTTGCTCTGGTCCCCAGTTCTGTGAGGAAGGAGAGGTATGAGGAAAGGAACAGGTAGGGGAAAAAGTAAGGAAGTGGTGTGGGAACAAGAGAAAGAGGGGTGGAGAAAAGAGGGAAGGAAGGGTGGGGTGAAAGTGAGCAAAGCAAGAGGTGGGAAAAGTGAAGAAAAGGAGGGAAGGGGGTTGGGGAAATGAGGGAAAAGAAGGGGAAAAAAGGGAAGGGATGGGTGGGGAAAAGTGAGCAAAGCAAGGGGTGGGAAAAAGGGGGAAGGAAGGGGTGGGGGAAAAGAAGGGATGGGTGGGGAAAAGAGGGAAGGAAGTGGAGGAGGTAGAAGTGGGGGAAATGGGATAGGAGGGATAGGGAGAAAAGAATAAATAAGGGATGAGGAAAGGGAAAGAGGGTGTGGGGGATCGGGAGGAAGGGAGGTGTGTGGGGACGGAGTAAAGGAGGCAGTGTTGAAGATGGAAGGAAGGGAGGGGTCCCAGAGGGAAGGAGGGGATGCAGGAGTGCCATCTCAGAGTCTTTGCTTTCGGAAGTTGCAGTGTAAGCATGACATTGACCACAACAAGATATCTCATTTTTAAAAGTATGATTCTCTTTAAAGATAAGATGAGGATATTCGGGTCTAAGTACAGCAATGTTGAACCGAGAGAAAAAGAGAAAGAAGGTATATTAGCTATAACCCAGCTTGATGGGAAGCATTTCCAGACAAGAAATCACAGCTCAGTGATTTAAGGAATTAAGTAGCTTATGTATTCTCTGTAGCCAGTTCCAAGCAAGATCAATGTAGGCACTTATATAATCCTTCCATGTAGCCACTTACAAGTTCACCAATCTGTGTAGCCAACGTGCAGGCTCAACGTGCCCCATGCCCATACCCTTGGCAACGCCGAGATGTGAACTTGGAAATGGAGGACCCCCCCCCTCCTATCCACCATTTTAAGTCACCTGCACACGCGCACGTACCCTGGCTCTGGCGTGGCAGGGGGTGGCGGCAGGGAGGCAAGGGAGGCGGGCGGCGTCGCGAGAGCAGGGGAGAGGAGAGAGCCCAGCCGACTGCTCGAGAAGGCCACCGACGAAGCCCCGAACTTGGCCATGTTTGAAGGGAACCGGCACAACGCTGTGTGAGTGAGTGAGAGTGTGAATGTGATATAGTATGAGAGAGAGAGAGAGAGAGTGAGTGAGTTGAGTGAGTGAGAGTGTGATGTGAGTATTAGTATGAGAGATTGAGAGTGAGTGAGTGAGTGAGTTGAGAGTGTGAATGTGAGTATTAGTGAGAGAGGAGAGATGAGTGAGTGCTGTGTGTGTGAGAGAGAGTTGAGTGAGTGAGTGAGTGAGTGTGAATGTGAGTATTAGTATGAGAGAGTAGAGAGGTGAGTGAGTGTGATGTGAGTATTAGTGGAGAGAGAGAGTGAGTGAGTGAGTGAGTGATGAAGTGTGAATGTGGTATTATATGAGAGGACGTAGTATAGTGACATGTGTGAGTATTAGTATGAGAGAGAGAGAGTGAGTGAGTGAGTGAGAGTGTGAAGTGAGTATTAGTAGAGAGAGAGAGAGAGTGAGTGAGTGAGTGTGTGAGTGAGAGAGTGTGAATGTGAGTGTAGTATGTGCGTGTGTGTGAGTGCGTGTTGAAGTATGAGAGAGAGAGAGGAGAGTGAGTGAGTGAGTGGTGAGTGTGTGTGAGAGTGTGAAGTGAGTATTAGTGAGAGAGAGAGTGAGTGTGAGTGAGTGAGTGAGAAGGTGAGAGTATGAGAGAGGTGAGTGAGTGAGTGAGTGAGTGAGTGAGTGTGAGTGAGTTGTGTGTTGAGTGAGTGTGTTTGAGTGTGTGTTGTGTGTGTGTGTGTGTGTGTGTGTGTGTGTGTGTGTGTGTGTGTGTGTGTGTGTGTGTGTGCGGTGTGCGTGCGTGCGTGCGTGCGTGTGCGTGCGTGTGTGTGTGTGTGTGTGTGTGTGTGTGTGTGTGTTGTGTGAAAAAGAGAGAGCTTATTGTGTTGTTGTTTTTTCGTATTGTAATATATTTAGTTTTTGAACAATCTGAACCCTCCGTCATTCAGTCAGCCTGAAAGAGAACTTTGGCAAAAAGCAAAGGGGAAACGAGAGCACAGAAAGATTTAAAACAAAATAAGTACCAGATTTGGAGGAAAGAAAATTTACACAATAAAAAGAAACAAGTGATAAAACAAAACACAGGTATGACAATAGCAAAAAGTGACGGCAGCGAAAATCACATTTTCTGAAAATTTGAACCGAATCAGACCCAGAAATGCAATATTAAAAATCCGTTACGACCCACAAGCAGCTAACCCGCCAAATAATTCACGTTCAACTACAAAAATAACTTCCTTTTATGACTAGTTCGCAGACAAACAACAGAAGGGTTTCTGTTTCGTTTTATTAATGTTATTAGATTATTTCTTATCACATCATTACTACTGATTAGAATATTCCTCTACACATGAACATTCACGTACTCACGCACACGCACGTTACGCCACGCACGGCACACACACATACACACAATCCCTTGCCCGTTTTGTCGTGGGTGGGGGGGGGCTTAGGAGACGGACACTGAGACCCAATGCAGGGATCTCCCCTGCTTAGGGCCTCAGCCCTCGACCCAACTAATTTTGCATGGTCTTTTCCCCCTCCAGCTTTTGTTTCCGTCCCTTCTCCCAATCCCTTCTACCACGGTACTACCCGATTTAATGTGTAGGCCCTTTACCCCGTCCAGGGCACTGGGGGGGGGGACTGTTTATTTCCTTACATAATCAAGGCTTCCCATGGCCAGTAATGAAGATGTAATACCCTATTAGGCAATGAGGCTTGCTTCTTTCATCAAATAGCCCCACCGGCTCCCCGATCCCAGGCTCTCCTTTGACCACGACTCCGAACACTGAAATTACTACCCACTCCTCAGTGCCTACTAGTGCATTACTCACCCAAGCAGAGACTCAATCTCCAGAAGACATTCCTACCCTCCCATCTTCCTCAAATTTCATCAACTCTACCCCACCAACCTTCATCAAACACCCCAACCTCCCTTATTACTACCTTACAGCCGTATTCTCCATCTCTCCGTAATACTACGCCCCTCAACAGCACTTCCCACTTCCACACGCCCCCGTCCTTTACCACCACCAACCCTATAAATATCTTAACTACTCTCTTTAGACCAGCTAAAATGGGACCGATTTTTCGTGATCCCCCTACAGCTCCTTACTCAGGCAACACTTCTCTTTCAACAATGTCTCCAAAAACATGTAGGCAGAGTCCCTTTCCGTACCTGACGCGATCACTCCCAT